ATGCAGGGCATACAGAGAAAAGAAATACAAAAAAAAATTCACGATACAAATTTTAAAAATATAAAACGTTTTGTTTTTTTAATGTTATTGGATTTCAAGTGAACCCGTCATGTACCAAAACCAAACTTTATGCCCTAACAGCAACTTAAACTGCACATCAACCCCTCCCCCACAAAAAAAAAAAAAAGTCTACCAACCAATATAGAGGCACCAGTCAGATAGCAGGATGGTGCTGATGGGCCCCCTTGTCAGGAGTACCTGCAGCCTGGGAAGGTCTCACTTCTCTTCTCTCTCTTCCCAGTTGTATGAATAATGTGTCCATCCATAATACACATCAATTTTAAAAGGGAGTGAGCTTTTAAAATCCAGCAGAGTGTTTAGGCAGAGTGTTAAGATTAAGAACAAAGGGCGACCTTTGGCGCTAGAGGTATGAAAGTACTACAAGTCTCAGCTTGCCCGGCCAGCCAACAAAGAGCCTTTTGGACTCCACAAACCATCCTTCGGAAGCGCCTCCGGTTGAGTACAGGTACACGAGGTCGGAGATTCCTATGGTCACGCAGATTCCTCGTGTCGTCCATCTCTTATTCATACAGTACAAGAAAAAAGTGCAAGGTCAGAGTGTTGCATGTCACAACCCACTATCCCTACTTCCTATAGAAAACATCCCGTGCGGGCCAAGCTGGCCTTAAAATAGTTCTAAATAAAAAGGAAGAAGAAGTCTTTTATATATAGTGTCGCGATCCTTCAGTAGATGCCGGAGATCCAAAAACGCCACTGCACTGGGGCCTCACTCGCGGTCTGCATAGCGCACGTTAATGGCCCCGGAGGGGCACAGGAGTCCGTGTGTTTTTGGGAGAACGGTCAAAGTCTTGGGGGAAGTCTTCAGCTCAAACTTCTGAATCAACTATCGTAGGAAAAAAAAAAAAAAAAAGGGAGTATTAAAAAAACAGCAACCAGGAAAAGTTTTATTAAAATATATATTCTATTAGCAATGGTGTCACCAGGGGGGGGGGCCTCCTGCACCAGGTGACACCATCAGTGGGGGTAACACCAAAATGACTGTCATTTGGGTGTCACCCCCTCTGAAAAAGTCAGGCACTCAGGGACCGAGAGCCTGACAGCTGCACAAGAGAGGAAGTGACCCGGTGCCATACCTTCCCGCCAAATGAACGTCACCCTCCTCTCTGTCGGCGTCCATCACCAGGATGGCCACGAAGTGCACATGACGTCATTACTCGCGTGTGTAACGATGTCATGTGCATATGTAATGACATGTTGACAGGTGACACATCTGTTTATTAGCACAGGGGGTATGCAACCTTGGCAATCAAGCTGGCATGGAACCAAAAATCCCATGAGGCAATGCATGACTCTGAGGCAGAGGGGGTGATAAAATGTGTACTTTCACCATAGCTGGAGTGACGAGGTTGCCTACCCCTGTAT